TAGACAAAAGAGTGCACTTTAATTTAATATAAAAATCATTATGATCCGCATGCTCTAAGTATAAAAAATATTTACCAAAACTTTTCAAAGAATTAGCAAAGATGCACAATTTACAGCATTGCACATTCTCTGACAAATAGTAATTTAATATTCTAATAGAATATCAATGTATTATATTCAATGCTTAAGAAAAACTGTAAGAATTTTATTTCCGACTTCATCGGAATGCTGTTTGCATTGATGAGAATGCCAAGGAATTACTAACAATGACAGATTTCTAATTATGTCCAGTAACATATATATATTATACAATATTATATTATTATAATATATTTCTCTTGCAATATCGTAAAAGATAAAAAGAGAAGTGAAGAGAAGAGAAAAGTTTTCTGGTACGTTGAGAAGAAGGAGGTGGAGGATTGCGTTTTGCTTGGCCGACTTTCCTCGGCCCCCTTGATGATTCCTCGTTTCGACAAAGGTCACGAAAAGGCCCTCGTTTTCTATTTCTCTCTCTCTCTCTCTCTATCTCTCTTGGTTACGTTCTCTGTGTATATGAGAAAGAAAGAAAGAAAGAGAGAAGTGTGTCCCCCGTAGGCCGTGTTGCAAGGTCGTAGGCTTTTAAAACAGTATATCCATCGAACCGTTTTCAGTTCGACGCAGTGCAGTAAATATCACCGCTTTAATGTTAAACGTACCGTGTGTGTTGCATCGAAACTTTTATTATCCTCACCAACAAACCAACAAACCAACCAACCAACCCCTAACTCGTCCCTAATTCTTTCTATTCTCTTTCTATCTTTGTGTTAGGTCTGTTTGTGTGTTGTGTGTCTCTTTTTCTCTGATTTTTTTGTTATCTGTGCAGAATTTTTTATTTCACCAATGGTCAGTCATCCTCATCGTTTTACCAATACTCTCTTTTTATTTATATTATTTATTATTATTATTATATTTCACGTGCGATTAATGAATTTACTATTACGTTGTATTATATTGAAGATAATATTGGAAAATATTTTTCGTTATTTCTATCTTTGTTTTTTTTGGCCCCTTTTTTTTTTATTCCATACGTTTATTATATTATTTATCGTTATAATATTATTATTTTTGTTTGTTCGTTTTTTTTTTATGGTAATAAATATGTTCTTATGATAGAAAAAGAAGAAGAAACATAAATTCTAATTTAAAAAATAAAATAAAAAAAGGTTGAAAGGTGCGGGCTTCATTTCTTTCTACACGATCGTTACTCATATCCGCTTTCTGATATGCTCCTCCGTGTGATAGTTTTGACCCCTATAAATTGTTACAGCCCTATTTCCAAAGGGATCAATCAGTGCAGTTTATAATCTATCAGAGAAAGTAGTAAGCTTGAAAAGATTTATAAATCTTCTATAAGCAAAACAATAATAATAATAATAATAATAATTTGTATAATATATTATAACCACATTCGCGAGAAATTAATCTTTGTTTCTTTAGCGTATCAAACTTAACGCGATAGAAATAGAAAAAGAGAAAGATAGTGAGTTTAATGCAAGGATACAAGACATACATTTCCATTTAATTCTATTGTTTCGTTTGAATTTGACTGAAATAATATTACACCCACCCACCCCCATCAATGCATATTTGTGCAAATCAAATTGTTAGATTAAAAATAATAAACAAACATTAACTATGAAAAATATTAACACGATATTATAATTTTAAATGTTATTTTTGAATACTCAAGTATTAATGAACACACACACACATGTATATATTATAGTAACCACCCCCATCAATGCATATTTGTGCAAATCAAATTGTTAGATTAAAATTAATAAACAAATATAAACTATAAAAAATTATCAATACAATATTATAATTTTAAATGTTATTTTTTAATACTCGAGTATATTAATGAACACGCACACACACACACACACACACACATGTATTTATTATAGTAATTGTAATTGTGAATAGGATTTTTATTGTTATTGTTATTATTGGAGAATAGAAACGTGAATAAGTGTCATGAATGAATTTTTGTAGATAAAATTAAACGTGGTGGAAGAATAATGGTTCTACGTTCGAGAGGAAAGTAAATACAGTGCCGTCATCCTGGCACGTGGTAAACCGGGCCAAAGGCCTGGATCCTCGTCTTCCTCGTCCTCGTCAACGGAGAGGTTGCAAAGGATGCCAGGACCAACTCAAGAGAGGCCTCGAGCTCATCGGCTCACTGACATCGAGCCACAAACCGCCAAGGTTAGTTCCACAAATTCGATAAACATTCTCTCTTTCTCTCTTTTCTATTTGATTTTTTATTCATTTTCTTTCAAAATATATCTTCAGATACTTTCACGTATATTATAATCATTTTTATATATAGGGGATGATGATGATAATTACAAATTATTATGTAATAAATAATATCTGGTTTTTTCATTTGCAAAATTATACATTCAATATTTGTATTTAATTATTTACGTTATTATTATTAATTTGTATAAAAAATATAATACTTTTGCGTTATAAAAAATATTCAATTATATTATATTACTCATTGAATATATTATTGTTTAGGGGATGATGATAATTAATTAAAAATTATATAATCCGATAATATATGTTTTGTTCTTTTTGGAAATTATACATTCAATATCTGTATTTAAT